CCTAAATGGAGGGAGGCCAGCCCTTCATTGCCAGCCATGTGGGGCGGCATTCTCTCTGCTCTGAAGGAAGACCTTTGCGAGCTCCTCAAATACAGCCGGGAGTAGAGGCTCGAAGCCTGGGGACGTTATTTCTGATGTCCTTCAAATTTGTTTTCCTTAAGAATACAAAATGTTAGCATTGATTGTCACTTAAAAATACTGTTCATTCTTTTTGAGAAGATAAAACAGCACCCTCTTTTTACTTCCTTGCTTTATGCTTAATGTATCAGAAAACTAAACTCTTAATTTTAGATCAGTATTTTGTTTTTCTTCGGATCAATAATTTTTGAGGGGAGAAAAAATTTGCATGTTGAGAGGTGGAACAGAAAGGAACATCCTATATAATAAAAGCTTAGTATGCTAAGTGTCTGATCGTCCAGTCGTCCGTTAAACCAATCAAAGCGTAATATGCTAATGATATGCTAAGGCCGTTCAACCACTTGCTATGACCACCAGGGGATAGACGCTCTGACCAGTAGGTTAGCTTGCTGCTGGGATCTGTCCTATCGGGATTGAGCAAGATGGGCTGGATGTGCCCTGGAGCCTTCCTGTGGTCCCTCCCTGGCGGGCCAACCTCCTGCGTCCCTCCCCGGCCCCAATTGTGCACTGGTGGGGTTCCTTAACCTGGCCTGTGCCCTCTCCCAATCTGGGACTCCTTGGGGGATGTTGGAGAGCCAGTTTCGGCCGGATCTCACAGGCCAGGCTGAGGGACTCCACCGGTGCACGAATTCCTGCACTGGGCCTCTAGTGTTAGATAATGGTTAATCAGCTAAGGAATGTATTTTGAGAAACGGTTATAACTTCTAGTAATGTCTTGACTTTACATTGCCCCCCCCCCCATCATTCTTGTCAACAAAAATAAGAAATTCAGAATATTTAGCATATAGCATCAGTTTAAATTTTTAAAATATTTCTTTTTCTAGACTATTTAGTTTTTTTGTGGTTCCAAAAAACTTTTGGTAATGCTTTTACATTACATTAATGTATCAATGTAGCTACAATTTGATTTTTATGTTTTTTGCTCTGGAAAGAGCAGTACCATTTCTCACCAGGAATCCTGGTGGGTAGCTTGATGATATGACACTGGAAATAATGGGACAAGAAAAACAGCGTGGTTTGACAGAGAAGCCCATTTTAACTTTTGTTGGTATTCACTAAGGTTTCTCACATACGTACATGTGAATAACTTTTTAAAATGTCCAATACTTGCAAAAGCAGTTTTGAGGCTTTAAAGTGTTAGGTCTCACTTATCTATCCTGAAATATCTTCCTGAGATGGCTTGCTAATTCCTAGAGTAGTTCCCTGCCTCACACTGTCAGTTTGGGAAAGGAAAAAAAAAAGTATTCTGTTAACACAGGTCCATAAAATTCTCTCTTCCTGTCCCGCTCCAATATCATCTTTAGCCCTGTAAGGCTGGCATCATCACTGCCCTGCTCCTGCTCTGGCGGGTCCCCCTAAATGCCCTCCTGCCTCCAGCTCTTCTCCTCCTCCAGCCCTGCCCTCCAGGCCCACTCTTAGAGAAATCTTTCTAGAACATTCATCTGATTTCTCAGCTTAAAGCACTTTGGTGGTTCTCCTGATAGGCAGCACAGTAGCATTTCTCAAAAACAATATCTGAGAACCTCTGGAAGATTTTCAGTTTAATTCTTCTTTTTGTAATGATAAAAAAAAAAAAATCAGCAAGCACACCCTTATTCTCCCAAACGGATACCTGGTGACTGAGCACTGGATTCAAGTTCATGCTCATGTGAGAGAATCATTGATTGTCTGCCTCCTGCACGCCCCCTACAGGAGGTTGAGCCGGCAACCCTGGCATGTGCCCTGACCAGGATTCGAATTGTGACCTCCTGGTTCATAGGTTGATGCTCAACCATTGAGCCACACCAGCTGGGCTGATGCCAGATCTTGTACTTTCGAAGGAAACATTTGCTTCTCAAACTGATCCATGCCTTTCAGCCATCTTCCCAGAGGTATTTCCTTTTGAGGAGACTGGATATTACTTCACTTGTGAGACAGTGGCCCACAGGACAGGATCCTGCCTTAAAGTAGATGAAAGCCTCTTCTCCTGGGTGTATTTGAGGAGCTCACAAAGGTCTTCCTTCAGAGCAGAGAGAATGCCGCCCCACATGGCTGGCAATGAAGGGCTGGCCTCCCTCCATTTAGGTAATTCATTCAACTAGTCCAAGATTTTATGAGAAATAGTTTTTGTTTCTTTCTTTTCTTTTCAGACGTTACTTCTTTATGGAAATCAGTAAGCTCTATCACTGCTGAGAACTAGAACATTTATGATGCTATTACGTCTTTATTTGTGATAGGCCTTTTACCCCACCCCCCGTCCTTCCCGTCGCCCCTTGAACCCTGCACTCCAGCTCCTGAGGAGGGACAAGTGGCTCCTACAAAAGCTGGGCCATTTCAAGCATTTGCCTTTTTGTTGCTTAAGCTGATCGTGGCCAGAGATCCACTTTCCCCGCCTCTCTCTGCAACACACTCCTCTGTAGACTCAGCCTTTCTTGAACACCCATCCTAGGTATTTAAACCTCCTGCCTTGGCTGTTGTTCTTGTCCTTAGAGGGAATTGCGCCGTCAATAAACTACCCTAAAACGCAGTGGCTTGAAACCACATTTATTATCCCAGTTTCAGGGGCCCAGGCGTCTGCGTGTGCCCTGGCCTGCCTCTGGCTCGGAGCCTCTCACAGGATGCAGTGCTTCCGAGCAAGTCACATGCTGTTGGCAGGACCAGGGCCTCACAGGTTGTTGGCCGGAGGCCTCCATTCCTCATGACCTGCTGACTGGGGCGTCCTGCGGTTCCTCGACTCAACATGGGAGCTTGCTTCTTCTGAGCGAATAAAAAGGACAAGGAAACTTTTGTAACTTAACACAGAAGTCATGTGCCATCGTTCTTGCTGTGCCCCACTCATTAGAAGCAAGGCACGAGGTCCAGCCCACACATCGGGGTGGGGGATTAGAGACTAGGAAGTGGGCATTATGGGGCACTGAGATGCCCTCTACCACAGCCAGCAGGATGCCTTTGGGCAGGCCCACGTGGGGAGCCAGGGGCTGGCTTGGAGGCTGCTTGACCGTTCTCAGTCTGATGTCCCTGCCTCTCATGGTACGGGCGTCTCGATGCCAAGATGGTGGTTCCGAGGTTGAAAGAGAGGTCTATATTATACAATCTGGCTCTTAAATGTCATTTGAAAGTCACATCCTCCTCTCCCCCAATCTGATCACAACTGAAGAGAAACAGTCTAGTTTAGAGCTAGAAAAACTGTGTTGGACTTACTAAGGCAAGGTGATAGAGCTCACCAAGACAGTGCATTTGTAAGAGAGTACAAATGTAATCTTGATTACACTACTTTGAGGCTTATGTCCTGAATTTACCTGCTAAGCCAGAGTAAGGTAAGAGTCCTCTGTATTTTCAAATGTAGTACCTATGAAATCCGGTGGCACTTTCTGCGCCTCTCTTTGCCCTAGGAGCTGCTTGACACCTCAGTCCATGCCTAATTCATTTCTGGCATCATCACTTAGCTCTAAGTTGGCACTAAGCTCTCAATATTTTTAAGTACTAATTTGATATAGTTTATTTTTTATTTTTTTATAATACACCCAGTACTACATTTACTAAACTCTGATAGGGTATTCAGACTTGAGAATTTTTACAGATATTTCTCTGGCATAAATGCTTAAAAGAGGGACCTGGGTCTATGATACCTGTAATTTCTGTGTTATTTAGCTCCTTAGTTAGAGCATTAGCACTTTTTGCCCTTGGAATCAAAGTTCTCTTCTTTCCTCTCCACGGCTTCCAAATATTTTGTCCTTTTGAGTCAAGGGAATTGGCCTGATTTTATGATGACATTTGGGTACGATATTTAAACTGTTAAAAGTTATAAAAACGACCCTTTGGTATTAAATGTAATGAATGGCTCTGAATTGAATAAACGCACAAGTTCTCTTATATGAGCTTTGTGAGCCCAAACTGCTCCAGTTACATATTCTCATTGTAATTGGATTCCATGACATTCTCTCATCCCCAAGAGTATGCCAGGCCATGAAAATTCCTTGGTGTTGATATATACTTTGGGCCTTTTGAAGTTTTGAATTTCATCTCTAACTAGCGTCTGGGCCTCACAGTACTGCTGCGCCTACCCAATCCTGGAGAGATAGGGGTGTCTCTGCAAGAAAACCAAACCAAACCAAACTAATTTTATCTCTAAGAGATTTGTTGCAACCCTCACAGAAAGGGGGGGTGGAGGGGAACGGCTTCTGGAACTGACCTTTCTTTGCCCAGCCTCATCTTTACCAAGAATATTGTCCTTCCTTGGGTTCATTTGTTCTGGCTTGTATTTTTCTTTGTAAGTCCACAATATTATGCTTGGATGTCTTACATGAGACCAGGAACTCCTCAATATCAGGGGTTAATTTTCTTCCTCTTCTGTTGCGATAGCTTTGATCTCTTTTCCCATTTTATAACCTCTAAAACACCATTCTAGAAATAGGAGCCAGCACATACGAGGGCTAGTCTAGACTCATTGATGATGCGTTAGAGTAGATTGGAGATGTGGGGCTGGAACATGCCTGGACTCCTGTAGTGAGGGATGAATGGGAGTTCCAGAAGGACTTGTGAAAATGACTGAGTTAGCCTCCTGGGTAAAGATGGGTGCAGGCTCTCCTTGGACCCTCTAAAAGCACCAGAGTTTGTGACTGCCCTGAAATTGTACTGTGATATTTCCTGGTTGTGATTCATTCACCGTTTAATATGCTTCTAGTTCTGCTTTGACTTTTCCCCCAGGAAGAGACTAAAATCTCTTCATTATAATATAGACAGTGTACCGCACTTGGAATACAAATGTATCCATGTTCAGAGTAATTTTTCTTGTGATTGTCTCTACCCTGGAGAAGCGCCTTTAATGAATTACATACAAATTGTGTAATTTAAGAAGTTAATTTGGTTTTCTGGTTACACAGGACTAAAAACAGCCCTTGTAGAAAGAGATGATTTCTCATCGGGGACCAGCAGCAGAAGCACTAAATTGATCCATGGTGGTGTGAGATATCTTCAGAAGGCTATCATGAAGTTGGATATTGAGCAGGTAATTGTGTATGCTGGTTGTTAAACAAAAATTGCGACTATGCTTTTTTCTACCCAATTAAATCAGTTTTTTTTTAATAGCTCCTAACATTTCTTCCTGTTGGAAATACCTATTTAGTGTAGTCTGCTGGAATATCTTTCAGGAGAGGTGTGCTGGTTGTTTCCTGTAGTATTATGTTTATGGGCGATCGGGGGCTTTTTCTGCACAGGCATGTCAAAGTAGCAGATTTACAAAATCACTTTTGGGGGTGTTGCCTTTTAACAACGGTGATTGTTTTTTCTTCTTCTTTCTTTTTTTTGTTTTTGTTTGCCAATAGCCACCAAATTGCTACTTCCCCAGAGAAATACAGGGGAAGTATTACTCTCTATTACTGTGCTGTAATACCGGGGGGTGGGGGGGAGATGGGGGGTGAGGTATTAAATTGATCCTCTTAACTGAAACTGCAGCCATACGTTAATCTTGTCGCTGACATTCTGAAGGAAAGATGATCTGAGTCATGCTTTTCTTATGTCACACATTATTGTGTCCAGTCTGCCACCACTTGAAAACTGCCAAGGCAGTGTGGAAGATGACATTTCCCAGAGGGCTAAAAAAAAAAAAAAAAAAATCAGCTGAACTCGGTATCTGTCTTCCGTACGGGAAAAACACAGCAGCACTAACTTGACATTGTCACTTGTGAATCTGTCCCTTTCTTAGGTGTCTCTGCGACATCGCGATGGCTGCAAGGAAAAGAGCATAGGGTTTAGAATCAGATGGCTTGGCATGTGTTCCAGTTTACTTACTCAATTTTTAGGAGCCTCGGTATTCTCATTTGTAAAATTAGTATCATGCTTGTAATGCTGGTTCTTCCGAGGGGTATGCTAAGGACCAAAGGAGTTAAGAGATAAGCTTTTTTGTAATAATCTATAAAATACTGTGCAACTCCTACGCATCGTCTCTGCTTGGGGTCGTGGAGTCCAGAAGGGGAAGTGTAGCATGCATTTGAACAATCTGTTGTCTCTTACACGGGGAAATATTACAGGGGACGGAGAAAAGGGACAATACAGAGAATGCAAGATAAATTGTTATAATAATCTTGTAACTCCAGTCAGGAAAATATCTTACACCTGGGAGCTCTGACAGCATGTTTTTCTCCTATGCAAATACAGTTAAGGCTTCTAAAAAATCTCCCCGGTTGACAGCATGATGTATTATTAGAAATCTGATTAGGGGGGAGCTACCCTCTCTCAGAGGTAGAGAGGTTTCTGTGTATCAATCAGTTGGCGGGGTGTCTATTTGCCATTTGAAAATATTATGATCTGTTACTGCCAAACTAATTTTCTCTGTTTTGCTTTTCAGTATAGGATGGTAAAAGAAGCCCTTCACGAGCGCGCCAACCTACTAGAAATTGCTCCCCATTTATCAGCTCCGTTGCCTATAATGCTTCCAGTTTACAAGTAAGCATTTTGATAGCATCTATACACATTTGCTTATCTGAGGTTAATAGAGAACAACACAGTTTTAATGGAAATATTCCCTCAGTTTGTATTTCTTAATGTGGTTTTAATTAGTCGCAATCTTTAATCATGCTCAAATACTTTCCTTTGTTGTATTTAAAAGTGTGGCTTTTCCTAAATCACTCCCTACTGACCATCCTCCAAAGGCTACATCTTGAAGGCAAAGGGAGCTGTGTTCTGTATTTATAATTAGTAATTTCTCCCGGCAGTTTCTGGCAGGATATAGACTTGCTTTGAGGAACGTAAGAGGCCCATTTGAAGACTGAAATGCAGAGCCCCAAAGTATCCTTCTGCAAAATCTGAGCCTAGTATGTACCAGCTCCAAACCTAAATCATTCTGGGTCATTTTCAATATGTGCATTAACCCGAGCTTTGTTTAGAAGTGTCAGATAGTGCTGGCAGGCATGGCTCAGTGCCTGAGCATCGACCTCTGCACCAGGAGGTCTTGTTTCAACTCCTGGTCAGGGCACATGCCCGGGTCGCAGGCTCAATCCCCACTGTGGGGCGTGCAGGAGGCAGCCGATCAATGATTCTCTCTCATCATTGATGTTTCTGTCTTTTCCTCTCCTTTCCTCTCTGAAATCAATAAACAAAACATTTTTTTTAAAAAGTGTCAGATTATAAATTATAAAACCCATTTTTCCTGATATTGTTAAAGCTATCCATGGAGTTGCCTTAAATTAGAGTACAGGTAATATGAAGAAGTGGATTCTCTAACTTTGTTAGCTATGAGTGTTGTGGGGGACCTAGAAACAGATTTTACAATTGTCCATATTTTGTCATAGATTCCTTAGGACACCTTAAGCCAGTGATTCCCCACCCTGGGGATCCATTAGCGTCCCCCAGGCCCCTTCCTAGTTTAGCTAAATCAATCTCTAGACATGTGAAGCCTAGGCATCTGTATTTATTTCTGGTTCTCTCCAGAGAATTCTAAAATGCAGCGAGGTCAAGAACCATTGTCTTCCAGGCGATTCGTTGGAAGGCTCACGGATTCATTCAGTTACATAGCTCAGCTGGGTTTTGTGAACAACAGCGGTGCGGCTCTGTTTCTTTCACAGCACACTTCTAGCCATATTTTGCTTTTCTTAAATGAAACGTATCTAAGAACTTAAAGCGACATTCTGTAATGTGATACACTGTCTAAAGAAACCTTTCTCCCTGTTTATGCTGTAGGTGGTGGCAGTTACCTTACTACTGGGTAGGAATCAAAATGTACGACCTGGTGGCAGGAAGTAACTGCCTGAAAAGCAGTTACATCCTCAGCAAATCGAGAGCCCTGGAGCATTTCCCAATGCTTCAGAAGGACAGGCTGGTAGGAGCAATTGTCTACTATGATGGTATGTGTTTTTGTTGTTTTGTTTTACAAGATACTTTACTCTCACTCATGACCCTTACAGTATATTGTTGATATAGTTTTGCATTCTTAATTTTAATGTGAATCTCACACAACACACAGATAGACACACCCGCTCACCATTTTCTCCGATACTAGCTAAAAACCCCTTCGCATTGTGTTTTGCTTTTCATATGTGTAATTTTGCATATTTCTTTTCTGCTTGGGTTTCTACTTTGTATCTTATGGTTGGTTTGGTCCATTTTCCCTTGTTATGAATTTGGACTCCACCTTCATGTCATTTAATTGGTTATATGTTTGCCAGTGACTATATTATATGTAATGAATATATTACAATGTTGAAAGGAGCTGAGGATCTGTTTGGTTTTCTAGATGCAACCTCTATTTTCAAGGGGTTAGAAACCCAGAGAAAAATGCCCCCTGGGCTGAAATGGACAAGTTTGTAGTTTGCACAGGACACAATTCTTGAATATATAATTTATGATGAAGGTGGATGAACATTGCATTTATTAAACCAACTCCTCTGTTTTTATTGCTTATTTTATTGTTGTCGGATGTTTTCTAATAGTGACATTATTTAGTATCCATTTGCCATGTGTTCAATGTTCATTTTGTGTGTGAGCAATATAATTTTGTATACTTTTATTTGAAGGAACTCACCGCTTATATTTCCAGATGGACCACAATACAGCATAAAGTAAAACAGGAAAAGCCATTTGTGAAAATTTTTATAGTTTTAAAGGGTGTGTGGAATTAGCAAGTAGTCCAAAGATGTTTATTTACAAGGAAATAACTGGATATAGATATTGTATATGTTCAAAAAGTCTTAGAAATTTTGTGACACAATAGGTTCTGTAGCTCAGTGAGTTTTTTTAAATCTCCATTATGTGATGTTTGTATTTCATGTTAGATATCTAAACTCTTAGTGTGAAATATATATATATATATTTAGGAGGCTTTGATATTTATATTACTTCATATTATAGTATATCCTCAAGACCATCCTACCTCCCCCAAGTGTTAGGTTTCTGAATCTACTTAGCTGTCTGTTAGGCTTTCATGTGGGAATACAAAAAGTGTATGTGCAATGGGAACAAACTAAAGAAAATGTCCTAGGAGCAACATTAGGGAAATGTTAGGGGTCTTAGGCAAACATTAAAAGCTAGAAAATTCACATTGCCCATCAGTATCTGAACATGACGGAGGGCGGGGGGCACTTATCTACACTTTTGGTACCCTTGATAGGACCTGTATGTTAAGGACAACCTTAACTGTGAATTTGCTTTCTGAACAACGGACCCTAATGCTAGTCCATTGTAGTTTACTGGGTGATTACACTGAAGAGGGGTTGGTCCAGGAGGAGTAAGAAGGCATTCCACTCATCCTGACGTGGAAGTGTTGTATTCTTTGCCTGTCACTGCTAATCCCTCCTGCACAGTCCCTCTAGACTTGTTCATGTGAGGATGCTAACTACTTTTACTGTTTGCTTTGTTTTGTTTTTAATGTGTGCATATCTGAATCTCCTTAAGAGGATTCTTAGTGGATATCATATCTGATTTTGTGGCATCTTGTCTTATATTGGCTTTAATATTGTTATGAATTATAAATTCTTTTTTATAAATGTTTTTATTGATTTCAGAAAGAAGGAGAGAGAGATAGAAACATCACAGAATCATTGTTGGTTGCTTCCTGCAGTCCCCTTCTCCCCCAAGGATTGAGCCCGAAACCTAGGCATGTGCCTGGACTGGGAATTGAAATGTGACCTCCTTCCTGGTCCATGGGTTCAACCATTGAACCACACTAGCCAGGCGAATGAATTATAGATTCTTAAAGGGAAATCTATGTCACACATGCAAAAAACAAACAAACACATGGCCCTATAAGAATCAAGGGGATCAAGAATTTCTTTAATTTAGAATTGGCTTTTACAGCTTGTTATAGGTTGCAAAATTGAGTTTAGCAAAGATTACCGAAAAATTTAAAGATCATTATGAAAATAATTTCATGTTGACATTTGGAAATTTATTTTAAAATCTTAAAGTCTTGAATAGAAAGGGTAAAAATAATTATATTCTAGTCCTTTGAAATAATTTTCTTTTAATCCTTGTTCAGAAATGATACAGGCCCAACTGTGTCACTCTGGAGGTAAGTTCAAACAAGAATGTGAACCAAAGTGTAGTTCTATGGTTTCCCAGCTGTGCTCACAGATAGGACAGCTCCTGTTTTACCTAACGTGGTGATGAGCAAATTAAATAGCAACATGGAAACAGATACAAAAGGGAGCATATAGGTCAAGGAAGTAAATGCCGTAAATATATACTCAGGGAAAGGAAGGAATGCCTTACCCCTGATCAAAAAATAACACCAGCATCCTGTTACCGAAGTATTTCAGAGGAAAATAACTTTTTGAACATTTACTTTTGCAAACAAGGTCTAAAATTGTAATGTATAACGTAAACCTTTCTTAACAAGAAAAAAATATTCTCCATAACTAACCATTATAAGAATGTAGTAACAGTCCCCAGATGGTTTCAAAATGCATTTGAACTTCTTGAAATAACCTTTTTTAACTTAAAAAATATTTTATTGAGGTGAAATTCACATAACAAAATTACCATTTTAAAGTGAACAGAAGTAATATTTATACCTCTCATCTTGGGGAAAATCTTGATTATGATAAAAAAAAAAGTGGCACAAGTAATTGAAAGAACTTTTAAATGCTACCAGAAGTTTTGTGAACGAAAACCTCTTATTAGTGATACATTAGACAGTTACATCAGCACCAATGAAAAGTGAAGTGTAGGCGTGTGGAAATATAGTGACTAGACTAGAAAACATTCTCATTCACTTGGACTGATGGCTGATACAGTCGAAGGTTCCTTCCGTACTGAGATGTTGAGCTAGCTGAAGAGGTTCCCTTTGAAGTTTGAAATATAAAAGGCAAAAAAATTTTCTTTTTTAAAAAATATATGTTATTGATTTTTTACAGAGAGGAGGGGAGAGGGATAGAGAGTTAGAAACATCGATCAGCTGCCTCCTGCACACCCCCTACTGGGGATGTGCCCACAACCGAGGTACATGTCCTTGACTGGAATCGAACCTGGGACCTTTCAGTCCACAGGCTGACGCTCTATCCACTGAGCCAAACCGGTTTCGGCCAAAAAAATTTTCTTAATTACTCATAAGGACATTTCATCCTAAATAAATAGAGATGGCCATTGCATATGATTAAGGCAAAATATATTCCCTCCACACAAGTCCAAAGGGTCATAAACATAATTCCATATTTTTTAAAATGGAGTAATTATAGTGGCTGTGTTCAGCAAAGGCATGATCCATTGCCATGTTTTATTGTTAACTGCTGAAAACAAACTCACATATACAGAGGAATAGCTAGTTTTTTAGTTTTTTTTTTTTTAGTTTTTCCTTTAGTTTTTTTTTTTTTTTCTTCAGTGCAGACAAAGTAAATGTCAGATTTCTCAGTAAAATCCATATGAAATGAAAGTTGGACTAGGAAGTGACATACAAGCTTATATTTTCTTTTTATATTCTGCTAGAGAAAACATACAGTCAGCTTACTGGTTTTCTGACTGAGACATGTCTGAGTGTTTCCTATCTGCTCCTTGCCGTCTCCTACCAGAGCGCCATCAGCTGACCCTGACCATGGCCATGACCACTGGTCAGGGGTTCACCAGCTAGAGTGTGTGACTGATCCAACTCTCCCAAGTCAGCGAGAAGTGTTGAAGGCCTGACAGGCTTGGGTGACTTGTCCGGCTGTGAGATTAAGTGAACCAGCTGTGGAGAGGAAGCAGGTCTCCTCAGGACCTTATTTTGTCTTCCTCTGTCAACTTTACTTCTACCTTCCTGTTCCCAGAGGAGATCTTTGATGCCATTCCTCTTGGACTCCAGTCATCCGATTCAGTGCACAAAAAGTGAGATATAACTAAAAATCATTAAATATTTAAAACCATTAAATTCCTCCATTAAGCTTCTCTAAGAAACAACTGGAGAACAAAATTACAGCTTTAAATTCTTTCTTTTGCGAGTCCAGTCATGGACACAGAGAGTTGTCTGTTATTTCCTACCTGATAATGCCCTCAAGTATTCCTTGTGCACATATGAAAACAGCAACCTACAAGAAATTACATTAGCTTTCCTAATGTAAATAAAAATTAGTTATATCCGTGTTTCAAAGGGGGAATTACAACCCAGGTTTTCTTAGAATATTCATTTTTATTCCAACGCAAAACTCACAGCATACTAATAGATGAATTCTGCTGGTGAGAGAGCAAAGCTAATTTAATCTCTGCCTCCCCTGAGGTAAATGTAGTTCATGGTCCTGCCCCCGCCCCAACCTCGGCTATAATCCCTGGCTCCTGGAGGTAGGAATGCACTGGAGTGAGGAAAATTCTGCAGCAGGATATAATGATCCAAAATGACAGGGACAATAATGACAATGAATTTCATGTCTCCCAGTCACGGGCTGGAGATGCTTGACTAGGCTGACTCATACAATTAAATTGCTACAGGTACAGCAGGAGATGCAGTTAGCTCTGTGCTTTGGGGAACGATGCCTCTGGCAAGAGGCATATTGTGGCATCCAGACTCTTTTGTTAGGAACAAACTATTGCTCCTCTAGGCATGCACCTGCAATTGTACACTCGAATAAAGAAAGCCTGGGCTAAAGACAAGTCTTTTAAGGTGTTGATTTTATTTGCTTTGAAAGCTTAAAAAAAATCAATTACCCAATAACAGAAAGGTGATATTTTTTGGTCTTAACTGTTTTTTGTTGTTGTTGTTGAAATCCTGGAACTTAAGTCAAATCCAAAGATGGTGCCTTTAATCCTCATTTACATTATATGCGAACAGCATTGTTGAACTAATTGGATGTTGTCTACTTTGCATATGACAGACACATCAATTTCTTCAGAGGAATAGAAATAGGTTGAAAAAGTAACTGAATGATGTGGATTTACAAACAAA